GGGCACCTCACGAGACCTGTTCCGAGGGCTGGGCACAAGCCAGGAACAGGTAGGGGTGGCACAGATCACCTTCTGTGACTCAGCCTGGTCCCACCCTCACCTTATGAATCAGAATCTCCTGAGAGCAGCGCCCAGGAATCTAGTTGTTAAATGCTTCCTAAGTGGCTCCAGTGACCAGTTGGGTTGGGGAAGCCCTGATGAGTGACGTTTCCCACCTTCCATCATGGGAGGCTGGGGTTGGGACGAAAGAGGTACTCCGAGACATGCATGGGAGTGGGGTCCTTCTCTCCACATCCTGGTTCTTCCATGGCTCATCCATCAAAGGGGTCCTGCTCCTCCCTTATTGGGACTCTGATTGTCATCTTCTCACCCTCCTTATGTGGGCAGAAGTAAAAGGGGTAAACCGCCTGCTTTGGTAATAAGGTGATGAGAGAAGTTGGAGACAAGCGGTACATGTAGTCACATGTACTGTGGGTACAGCTTGAAGGACCAAGCGTTCCACCTGCAAAGGAGAGCACTGACAATTTTAAAGCCTCCACGTGAGCCCCACCCCCTCCCCCAGGGAGTGTGATGTAGGCAGGACAGCTGTTTCAATTTCCATTTTACAGACGGGAACATTCAAAGAAGTTTTCTAACTTGACTCAAGTCCGGAAAATGCAGTCATGTGTCACTTACCCATGGGGATGTGTTCTGAGAAGGGCGCTGTTCGATGGTTCATTGTTTTGTGAACACTGAGAATCTACTTTCACAAACTAAGAAAACTAGGATGTGGCCTAGGGACTACCACTATATACGAAGTCCATCATTGACCAAAACATTATTCTGGAGTAAGTTGCAGACCTGGTTTAATACTTCTGGACATCCAGAACTTTCTGTTAAATTCAGAACTTTCTGCTTCACCATCATTTTATACTTACTATGGGTCCAGGTCAATTCGGCCATCCATCCATTTAATTAATCCTAAAAACTCTTTTTTTCCTTCCTTCTTTCCTGTTCTGGGGATTAAACCCAGGGGCTTGCACATGCTAGGCAAGCATTCTGGTAATTCCGTGTGCCTGAAGTTGCCCAGATTGGCCTTGGACTTGCAATCCTCCTGCCTTAGCCTCCCAAGCAGTTGGGATTACAGGTGTACACCACCACACCTGGCTGGCATGCCTTTTAAATTAGGCCAAATCCTAACCTCTTTCTGGTTTCTTTGTCTCATGTTTGAAGCTGCCATCTCTGCCTGGTACTGGTAGCTTGGGCTCAATGTCCAAACAGTTATGCCTTGGTATCTGTAGGGGCATTGGTTCTAGGACCCCCTCAGATGCCAAAATCTGAGAATGCTCAAATCCCTTATGTCAAATGGAGTGGTATTTGCATATAACCTATGCATATCCTCCTGTATATTTTTAATCATCTCTAAATTATTTATAATACTTAATACAGTAGAAATGCCATATAAATGGTTGTTCGTATTGGTCAGGGAATAATAAGAAACGAAAGTCTGCACGTTTGGTCAGATGCGAAAAAAATATTTCCCCCAGTATTTTCCATTGTCAGTTGGTCAGAGCTGAGATGCAGAACCCGTGGATACAGTAGCCACTGTACTCCCCTTCCTCGAGCAGCTCTAACAATAAGACCCCACACTACCCAGGCCCTACCTCTGTGACTAGACCTGCATTCTCTCCCTACCTAATTCTGCAGAGAAAAGAAGGTCAAGTAATCAGATGAAATAACTTAGGTGGTAGATTGCATTATTGTTCAAAATGTTTGCTACCCTCCTCAGAGTGCCCTTCCTGAGGCCTATGGGAGGATCATAAAATTCCTGCACCATTATCATCATCATCATCATTATCATTATTTTGGAAACAGAAATTGAACCTAGGGGCACTTAATCACTGAGCCACATCTCCAGTCCTTTTAAAACAAACAACAACAACAACAAAAATACACATTTTTTTTCTGAAAAAAATATTTTCCCTGAGGCAGAGAAACCAGAAAGGGTTTAGGATTTGGCCTAATTTAAGGAAGAGGAGTTGCTGAGGCTGGCTTTGAATTCCTCATCCTCCTGCCTCAGCCTCTGGAGCTACTGGGATCACAGGCATATGCCACTGTGACCTGCACCTGCCTTATTGAACCCAGAAAGGGCCATGAGACTAGCTCAGCCCTGGTTGTCAAAGCTGGTGGGTGGTCCACCATCTATCTTGTGCTTCTGTCACAGTGACCTGCAGTGTTCAGTTTTATCAGAGACAGTTTTATCAACCTGGGTTCCAGAGTGAAGAAAATGGGCAGAGGAGCAACCAGCCACAATAGACATGAGATGGAGAGGGAAATGAACATTTGTTAATTTATTAGATAACGCAAGAAGGCTCCAAAGCAAGACATATATAGTATCCCATTTTTGTAAACTCGTATACCTAAGTATGTTCATTTCTGCAAAGATACACAACCAGAATTCTAACATTTGTTAATTTACATGTGTTAATTTCTACATTATTCTGTTGTAAACCAGTAGATTTTTCAGTTTATTAGCGCAGCATAACTAAAACTAAATTGATACAGTGACAGGATTCCATCATTCAAAGATTAACTACTGTTAAAATTCTAGTGTGTAGCTCTGCAGAAATTCTTCTATGCAAATGAACATACTTAGATATTCAATCCTACAAAAATTAAGATATATATATATATATAGATATACACACACACACACACACGTCTTGCTTTGGGGCCTTCTTGTAGACATCTTTCTATGTCAGGTTTTTTTTTTTTTTTATAATGGTCCTGGGGATTGAACCCAGGGCCTTGTGCATGTGGCAAGCGCTCTACCAACTGAGCTGTATCCCCAGCCTCTTTCTACTTCAGTTTTATTTCTGTGTCCTATTTTTAGTATGGATCCATAGTGTACCTACTGCATGGTGATGCCAAAAAAATCTAGTTTTACAATTCCTTTTCTAAGATATGGGGTCTCATTTTTTATTATTATAAACTGTGCAGTGATCATCTTAAATAAATAGTTTGATGTATTTGTTGGATCATTTCCTTAGGTTCAGGATAAATCCAAGAGGCAGAAGTGCTGACTCTAAGGGTGTGCGCATCCTTTGTTTGGGTCCACCTTGCCACACCGTCCCCCAGAAGGCCTGCTTGTGCTCTCGCCAGCTCACTGCTGCTCATTTCTTTACAGCCTCATCGATAGCAATCAGTTTTGCCAAAAGATCCACAATCTGATATATACATATTTTTTATGATGGTGGAAATTAAACTCACATGCAAAGCAAGTGCTCTATCTCTGAGTTGTATTCCCAGTGCCTGAAGAGCATTCTTGATTTTTTTGCTGGGGGGTGGGGGTTGGTGAGGTGAAGGTACTGGGGATTGAACTCAGGGGCACTCAACCACTGAGCCACATCCCCACCCCTATTTTGTATTTTATTTAGAGACAGGGTCTCACTGAGTTGCTTAGAGCCTCACTTTTGCTGAGGCTGGCTTTGAACTCACAATCCTCCTCCCTCAGCCTCCCCAGCCACTGGGATGGCAGGTGTGTGCCATTGCACCTGGCCTGAAGAGCATTCTTAAACGTGGCTTCAGTGTCCGCTAACACATTGCCTCCCTAACTTTGGCAACTATTTTGGTCCATTTGCTTACCGTAAAGTCAGAGAGCAAAGGGGATGCAGCCTTTGGAACCTTCCAGGTAGAAGGCTGAGCTGGTGCCGCTTGCCCAGTGTTATAAATGACCTCTGAATTTTTCTTAGCCAGAAACCCTTTCAGAGAGTCCCAGAGCTCCCTTCTATCTTCCTCTCCCTGCCTTCTCTTCTTTTCCCTGAGGGAAATATTAAAACTAACTTTTAAATTTATTCTTAGGCAAACAGCACGAAAGAAACAGCATTGTAGATGAAAAAGGAAAAAAAAAAAAAAAAAAACCCTCACCCACGATAAGCGGCCCCAGCCGTTGCGGTTTTTATCTGCCTGTTTCCTTCTGTCCTTGTCCAGAAGCACACCATGTTTTGCTGAGCACCCAGGCACAGGTCTAGTTTTACATTTTGCCCCTTTCGCTTCTCATTTTTCATAAGCAGTTTTCCACATTGCTCCGTGGTCATCATCTTTCCCATTTTAATTGGTGCACAACGTTCCGATGAGTGAATAATTTAATAATCATTACCCTAATGGAAGTCACTTACATGGTTACTTGATTTTGCCTATTATGAATAATGCTGCACTGCATGTTTTTATGGATATCGCTTCTTCCTTTATTTGGATTATTTCCTCAGGTCAGTGCCCCAGAGAGAGATCGCTGGGTTAAAGTGTCTGAGTGCTTTAATGATTCCTAGCATGAATTGTTATATTGTTTTCCAAAGGGTTTTCTCTTATTTATTTTCCTGCCCAACCCCCGCCCCCCAAATAAGGGGAAAAAAATGCATGCTTTCTCCGTCAACCATATAGAAGAAAGCAAAAATTATACTAGGAAAATAACCACTACAACATTTGGACAACCATCCCTCCAGATATCTCTTGATGCATAGATATAGATGGAGAAATAAAAATAATTCTTCACAAGAGGGATCATACTCACGTGCCAATTTTGCAATCTGTTTTTTTTTACTCAACAACATGTCCTAGGTTTTTCTAATTGGTTCTGCCATCACCCACGCCTAGGTAGTAGCATAGTATGTAGTTCAATAACAGCTGTAAACCAGGCACTGTGTCAAGAATTTTATCTGCATTAGCTCATTTAAGTTCCACCAGAACCCAATGAAAGACGTTCTATTTTTATCATGCCCATTTTACAGATGAGGAAATAGGCTTAAAGAACTGTCTGCCCAAGGTCACATGGTTAGGAAGTGATGGGGCTGGCACTCAAGAACTCAAGGGGGTTTTCTGGGTCTCCAAACCGGGCTTATACAAAATAATACATGAATGTATCATCTTATAAAAAAATAAAGTGTGAAAGTCCCCTTTACATTTCCACAGGGGTTTGATGTATCAGTTGAGGTTCAACTGCATATAATGGAAAACCAAACTAGCAGGCTTTAACAAGATAGGGATTTATTTTTCCTCACAAGATAGGGATTTATTTTTCCATTAGATATAAAAGAGGTTAGTATGGTGCGCCCAAGGTCGTTGTCTTGAGAAAAACCAGCGTTTAACTTTTTGCTCTGCATTCTCAGTTTGTGGCTTCCATACCTAAGGTCTCCATATGGTCTGCTATGGTCCCTGAAGTTCCAGCCATCATGTCTGCATTCCAGGTAACAAGAAAGAGAAAGCCTGGAGGGGCAACAGTATGTTTGCTCTCAGATGAATCAGCTCCTTGATTCATCTGATTTAGCTTTCCCTAAAGTCTGTCTCCTCCATGACATCAGCTTGCTTCTAATTGGCCACCTTTAGCCACAAGGGCCTCTGGGAAATGTAGTTTTAAAATTGATAGAATTGCTGCTTTACTACCCACACTGCTCCATTATATAGGAGCTTGGTTAATCAAAAAGCGGGTGGAGCTAGGGATGTGACTGAGTGGTAGAATGCTTGCCTAGCATTCAGGAAACCCTGAGTTTGATCATTGCAAAAAGAAAATAATATTTAAAAAGCAGGGGGAGGGAGAATGGATATTCACAGGCAATTAGATAACTCTGCCATCATATAAATCCTTCTTAATCCTTTTCTATAAATTTAAATATTTAAATTATCTATACATATATAAAAATGGTCTAACATGTTAAAGGTACCTTGTTTTAATTTACATTTTAAAGGTTTATCAACCAGCTTACATACCCTCTGGAGATGGAACCTAGAGGTGCTTTATCACTGAGCTACATCCCCAACCCTTTTAATTTATTTTATTTTTATTTTTCATTTTGAGACAGGGTCTTGCTAAATTGCTGAGGCTGGCTTTGAAGTAGTGATCTTCTTGCCTCTCCGCCTCCTAAATTGCCGGAATTTCAGGCCTGTGCCACTGTGATTGGCTTCCATTAGATATTTGTTTAGTAATTATTGTGTTGTGTACACATTTAAGCTCTTTGTTTATTTAGCCAGTTAGAGCCTGCTTTCTTTTTTTTTTTCTTTTCTTTCTTCTTTTTTTTTTTTTTTTTTTTAGTATGAGGGATTGAGCCCGGGGACACTTAACCACCGACCCACATCCCTGGTCCTTTTTTTTTTTTGATACAAGTTGCTAAGTCTGGCTTTGAATTTGCGATCCTCCTGCCTCAGCCTCCAGAGCCTCTAGATACAGGCGTGTGCCACCGCACTGCCCGCTTGATGATTTCCTGATCAAGTCAAATGGACTGTCTAGATAGATTCATTAATTGATAGGTAGATGTTACAAATATATTAACTCCTTGTCTTCCTTGCTGCATATAGTGCTTCTGATAAGCTTCTCTTTTATCTTTCATGGATTGTTCCTTTTCGGAAGTGAGTTTTCTACAATGTTAACCATATTTATATAGTTGAGTGTTATCTGTTGTCTGTGACTTTTTCTATCAGTCCTAGTCTCAGGCATATTTGTTCCACCTCCAGGGATATGGTCATTGTTTAAGTTTCCATTCTCCTCCCAAGAGCGTCAGGATAAGGTTGACAGTAGGTTCACCTAGATCCAAATCTCCACTCTGTCACTTCCCATCTGCATGATTAGCTGGAATACTTCCTTCTTCTGAGTTCCGAGTTTCCTGACTAATGAAGGGGTGGGACCAGCCTTGGATCCTCAAACTTGTCTATGCATCAGAACCACTCAGGCCCCATAAAATGCCCATTCCTGCCTGCCCCCTGCCCTGCATCTGTAGAATCCAAATCCCTAGACCCAGGAATCTGTATTTTTCAAAGGTCTCTAGTGAGTCCACTGCTCAGGCCTGTTTCAGAATCACAGGACCAGCCTGGCTACCTGCACCCTGCTGAGTAGTCACTGAGGGAGCTGGGGGCAGCAGTCCTAGGCTACTGTGTCCCCCAGAGCCAGGTGGCCCTGCCTCTTCCTCTTGGTGGGGGCTCCCATTTCACATCCAGCCTGCACAGCAGCTTCTGCTCCCTGCTTCCTCAGGGCAGTAGAGAGGGGTGTTTAGGATCCCGGAGAGCTGCCATAGCCATGCCTCTGGGAGGGGCCAGGGCCACCTACTAGTTGGGTGACCCAAGCTACTCACCCTGTGAGTCTCAATTTCCTCCCTGTTGAAAGCAGAGACAGTTCCCTTCCTTCAAGGCTGTTGTAAGGTTGGCGATGATGGATGGCTGGACGGGAAGAGCCTAGAGCAGTTCCTGGCTCAAAATGTGCTTGTGACACTTGTCGTGAGGATTACTGTTGGTGTTGTCATTGTGATTTACAGCTGCAGGGGAGGAAAAAAGTGCACCTCGACTGTCATGGGGTTTGTGGGTTGGGCCTGAGAATTAAACTGAAGTACGACAGATTGACAGGAGAAAACACAAAGGAACACAAGTTTAACTTGCACCAGGAAATGGAGGCCAAAGGCCGAGAGCTGAACGCTGCCTGAACTGGACGAAGAGTAGTAAATGATGAATGGGGCAAGGCAGAGGGGCTTGGGCAGTTAGTTGGGTGGAGAAGTGACTAGAAAGATGAAGGTTTGTATCCTTCTCCCTTGACCTCAACTTTCTATCCTTGATGACAATGATTTCTAGAATAAAGAGGACCTCTTCCACATGGGAGTGTCACTTACTGCCTTTTTTTTTGGGGGGGGGGGGTTCTGGGGCTTGAGCCCTAGGCCTGCTAGAAGGCACCCTACCACTGAGCCACACCCCCCACCCCAGCTTGTCATCCTCTACTTTTAAGAAGAACAAGGAAGGTCAGGTCAGAGTGATCTTCTTGCACCTGCAGTTTCTCAAGTGCCTTCACCTGAAAACAGTCAATATGCCAGAGAGGGATATTTTGGGGTGGCGTGTTCTTAACTGCTTCTCAGTGTCCTGGGCATGTTTGCCCTAGGGAATGAGCATCCCCAACAGGAATTTCCTGGTGCCTGACAAGACAGACAGAGACCTATAATTTCCCTGTGATGCTGAAATTTGTCAGAAGGAAGCCCTGGGCTTCTGGAAATTTTTCTCCCTGGCTCAGAGTAGAACTTGCAGCCTTCTGGGAGGCTGGGAGGGTGTGTGCCACGGTGCCAGCTAGCCACCTCCAGGCGACGGGCACCCACACTGTGTGACTCCTCATACCAGTGCTCCTTGCCTTCCCTCAACAGGTCTGACAGGAATGGCCCCATTCCTCAGGTGGTTGATCAATCCAGGTAGGGACATCCCCACTTGCCACCCAGACCCCTGATCCCTGGGATGCCCATGAGTGTGCCTTGCTCTGCTTCTGGATTAGGTCTCTCCTGGTGCCCTTCCTAGAACCTAGGGCCTCCTTACCTGCATTCCTGCCATTTTGACTCTGCCTGGGGCAACTGCCTGCCCTTGAACTTGACCAACTTACACAGGCCTCACATCCTCTGCAGAGCTTTCTTACTGTAATTAAGACCCCAGAGAGAGGCCAGAGCCCTTTATTGAGGGTCTTAGCAGCATCAATGTGGTCTCAGCCACTTTAGAGCGTTGAGGAAGTTGTCATGGAAACGCCCCTCCTCCTAGCCCCACCAAACATGGACCCTTTAATCTTCATGAACAGCAAACGAGCTATGCAAAATGTTGAACTGACAATCCTAATCTTGAGCAAGGTTGGGAGGTCCTGGGACAATGTGGGGGTCCCACTCGTGCACCCCAGCTTGAGTGGTTGGACTGAGGCCGAATTGAGATCCCAGTTTTGCTGCCCATTTGCTGCTAATCCTCTTAGACTTAGCCTTTCTGTGCCTCAATTTTTTATCCTGAAAAATGGGGATGTTAATAATATTCTCTATGTGATTGCTGTGAACATTTAAGAAGTTAGTACTTTCCAGGATCAGTGACGCATGCCTCTAATCCCAGCTATTCAGGGAGTTGAGGCAAGAACACAGGTTCAAGGCCAGCTGGGCAATTTAGTGAGACCCTCTCTCAAAATAAAAAGGGCTAAGGCTATAGCTCAGAGGTAAAACTCTTCTGAGCTCAATCCTGAGTACCACAAAAAAGGGAAAAAAGGAGGAAAAAGGTATAACTCATTACTAAAACAAAGAAAAATAGGTTAAGTTGGATTTTGCCAAAATTTTTAAATTTTACATGTTAAAGGACGCTGTCAAGAAAGTAAAAGAAGTCAGGCACGATGGCACATGCTTATAATTCCAGTTGTTTGGGAGGTTGAGGCAGAAGGATCAAAAGCCTGAGGCCGGCCAGGGCAATTTAGTGATACCTGGTCGCAAAATAAAGGAAAGGTCTGGGGATATAGCTCAGTGTTAGAGCACTTAACTAGCATGTGCAAGGGCCTGGGTTAGAAAAGAGAAGATAAATTTACAGAAGATATTGCAAATCACATTTCTGATAAGGGTTTACTATCCACTATAAATAAAGAACTTCAGCTCTACAATAAAGACAGTCCCATTAAGAAACAAGCAAAGGTGCCAGGTGTTGTAGTACACCCCTGTAATCCCAAAGACTTGGAGGCTGAGGCAAAAAGATCACAAGTTTGAGGCCAGTCTCAGCAACTGAACGAGACCCTGTCTCAAAATTTTAAAAATAAAAAGGCTGGGGATGTAGCTCAGTGGTAAAGTGCCCCTGGGTTCAATTCCTGGTACCAAAATAAATAGATGAGCAAAGGCTTTGAATAGACATTTCTAATAATAAACACAAATGGCCAACAAACACATGAAAAGAAGCTGAACATCATTAGCCATGAAGGAAATGTAACTCCAGACCACAGTCAGATATTACTACACACTTAGGATGGGCACAGTATGGGTTTTTGTTTTGTTTCTTTTCTTTTCTTTTTTTGGTACCAGGGATTGAACTCGGGAGCACTCAGCCCCTGAACCACATCCCCAGCCCTTTTTTGTATTTTATTTAGAGACAGAATCTCATTGAGTTGCTTAGGGCCTCACTAAGTTGTTGAGGCTGGCTTTGAACTCATGATCCTCTTGTCTCAGCCTCCTGAGCCGCTGGGATTACGGGTGTGTGCATCACCGTGCCCAGCTACAGTATATTTTTAAAGAAAAAGAAGTGCTGGTGAGTATGTGGAGAAGTTGGAACCTGTGGATGCTGCTGATGGCAATGTAAATGGTGCCACCTGTGTGGAAGTCAGCCTTGTAGTTCCTCAAAAAATTAAACCTAGAGTTACCATGTAACCCGGCAACTCTAGTCCTGCACCCAAGAGAATGAAAAACATATGGTCACACAAAGCCTTGTACACCAATGTTCATAGCAGTGTTCTTTGTAATAGCCACAAAATGGCAACAATCCAGTGCCCACCGACTGACGAGCGGGTAAAGAAAATGTGGTCTATCCATGCTATGGAATATTATTCAGCAATAAAAAGAAATGATGTCCATAAAATGTGGATGAACCTTGAAAACATTATGCTAAATAAAACCAGGCACAGAAGGCTACTTATTGTATGATTTCATAGACACGAAATGTCCAGAAAGAGCCAGAAAGTAGATTAGTGGTTTTCAGAGACTAGGAAGGAAGAAGGAATTGGAATGACTAATGGGTATAGGGTTTCTTTGAGGGTGAGGGAAGTGTTCTGGAATTGGATAGTGGTGATGATTGCACAACCTTGTGAATACTCTAAAAAAAAAAAAAACCTGAATTGTACACTTTAAAGTGGTGGAGTCTGTGTTATATAAAATTTTATGCTATGTGAATTGTCTCATTTGTTTATATATTCAGCACTGGGGATTGAACCCAGGGATATTTTACCACTGAGCTATATTCCCAGCCCTTTTTTTTAAAATTTATTTATTTAGAGACAAAAATCTCACTAAGTTGCTAAGGCTGGCCTCGAATTTGTGGTCCTCCTGCCTCAGCCGCCTGAGTTGTTGGGATTATAGATATGTGCCACTACGCCCAGCTATCTTAACTTTTTTTTAAAAAAATTGAATCAGTACAATAAAGTGTTCAGAAGGCTGCTCAGTTCACGTAAACCCTCAGTAGTTAGTTGCCAATTTGAGGGTTGGTTCAGGTAACACAGAAAGGAAAAACAATTCTAAATGGAGAATTGCCTTTAGAGATTGAATTCACATATTTAATATTGGTTGAATAATTAGCATATGAGGGGAGTGGGGATAGTAGAGGATAGCAAAGGTAGCAGAATACAATAGTCACTAATATGGCATCATGTAAAAATGTGGATGTGTAACCGATGTGATTCTGCAATCTGTATTTGGGGTAAAAATGGGAGTTCATAACCCACTTGAATCTAATGTATGAAATATGATATGTCAAGAGCTTTTTAATGTTTTGAACAACCAATTAAAAAAAGAAGAATTAGCATATAATTTCTTCCTTCATTCATATGCATACTTGTTGATTTTACATGCCTTTTATGGGTATATGTGTACATACAAGCATTTATTTGTATTTTAATTTTATTTTCTTTTTTTAAAAAATATCTTTAAAGTATGAAATGGGTTTCTAAAGCTTAGATTATTATTTAAGCCTCCACTGGTTAAGTCCAGCTGTCATGTGGCTCAGGGACTCTACTTAAGGTCAGGTCTGTGGTAGAGCAGGATGCTCACCGACCTTGGGGTTGGAAGACCTGAGAGAGCCTTAGCTCTGTTCCCCGAAAGCTCCCTGAGCTGGGATGGGACTAAGGTTCTCAGGTTTAAAACAGCAGACACCCAATTACATTTAAATTGCAGATAAACAATGAGTACGTTTTTGGTGTAAGTATATGTTCCAAATATTGCATGGGACATACTTACATTAAAAATTGTTTATTTAGTGCCAGGAGCGGTGGCGTATGCCTGTCATCCCAGCAGCTCAGGATGCTGACACAGGAGGATCGTGAGTTCAAAGCCAGCCTCAGCAAGGGCAAGGTGCTAAGCAACTCAGTGAGAGCCTGTCTCTAAACAAAATACAAAAAATAGGCCTGGGGATGTGGCTCAGTGGTTGAGTGCCCCTGAGTTCAATCCCCAGCACTCCCAGCCCCCGTCAAAGTTATTTATTTAAAATTAAAATTTAACTGGGAATTCAGTATTTTGTCTGTAACCCAGACATGACTCAATTTCTGTAAAAAGACTTTTTGGAGGAAATCACATTTAATTCTCATAGCAACCCCCCCCCCCCCATTTGCCCATGGAAGGGACTGACTCAGAAGGATCAAGTGACCTAGCCCAAGGTCATTCAGCTAGAAAATCCCAGAGCTGGGATTTGAACTTGGGTGTGTCGAGTAGGGCATGATCTGCTGAAATGAAACTCAAGACAGATATTCAGTGACCTATTTAATGATGGCATGGAAACCTTGAGGTAACTTGGGAAGAACAGAAGCTTTCATTGACTGGGAAGGAAAAAAAAAAGTTGGAGAATCACATTTGAAACAGTGCTTCTGTCACTATGTCGTTATTACTTCTCATTGCTGCCACAACAAATGACCTTAAATTTAGTGGCTTAAAACAACACAGATGTATTCTCTGACGTCTAGAGATCAGAGGTTTGAAGTGGCTAAAATTAGGGTGACGGCTGAGCTGTGCATCTCCTGTGCCAGCTCCGGAGTGCCGCTGCATTTTCTGGCTCCTGGCCACCATGGCTCAAGTCACATGCCCCTTTCAGACTCAGACCCTTCCACCTCCCTCTTTTAAGGACCCTTGTGATGACCGAGGGCCCACCAGATAATCCAGGATAATCTCCAAATCTCCAAATCCTTAATCACATCTGCAAAGTCCTCTTTGCCATGTAAGCTAACAGATTCATGGCCCCCAGCAATTAGGATGTCTGTGGGGAGTGATTATGCTGCCTCCACGCTGTCTAGAGAGAAATTAGTAGATTCGAGTGTTCTGGGTCTTAACTGTAATCCCTTTCATCTGTACGGCTTTCCGAGTACTTGCAGATACACCCTTTTTTCTTTTTTTCCTTCTTGAATTGATCCTGGGAGCTCCATTAAGGCTGTGCTGACTCTGCTGTAAAGAAATCAGTTGAAACCCAGGAGGCATCAGCCCTGTCACACAGCTAAGGACTCAGGCCCACTCCTTGTCATTAAGGACGCACTCCCTCACAGTTCCCAGCCACATACCACTAGAACAGTCTTCTCCCTGGTGGGGTGGACAGCTCCTCAGGTCCCTGCAGTCTAGAGGAAGAGGCCCAGCTCTCTTGCAAGATTCTGCCCTCCATGGGCAACCTCTCTGAACCAGGACAAGGAAAGAGAGGTGCCAGAGGAGAAACTTCTTTTTGTGGAGAGGCTTGGCACAGAGCCCCAGAACCCAATGTCCATCCATTTGGCTCATGTCCTCGACAGCAGCCCAGACTGGAACTTCTACATGCCCCGAAGGGAGCTTGGATTCTTAGAAAAGTCATCTTAGTGCGTCTTAGCGCAAACCTCTCCAGAACATGTCACTGTGGTTTGTGGTTTTTGCCCTTGGGTGCTGCTGTGTGGGAAGAAGCAGCTCTCTCCTGCCCACTGACACTTCTCCAGGCTGCCCCCCAACTTGTCCCATCCGCCATGATGGCCTGCGTGTGCCAGGCTGTTCCCAGAACTGGGGTACACCTTGGATCTGAGAGGGGAGGCTCTGCTCCCTGAGTGTACGCTTCAGCAGGGGACAGGGACACTGCAGAAGTACATGTGATACTTCCGAGGATAACAAAACTGGAGGACAACAGAGGGTGACAGCAATCCCATGAGTGCGACACTGTTGCCACTCTAAAGAGGACAGCCCAGGCAGGAGCAAAGGTGACATGCAAGCCCATGTTTTACTCCAGAGCCCTGGTGCTCCTAACACCTAGTCCAGTGGCCTCTAAAATACCTGTGTTCTCAAGAAGAGAAGAAGAGGAATTTGAGCCCCGGGATGGTGTCTGGTCTGTGTGTCATCCTTGAGACTAAAGTCAGTCCATCCTGGGAACAGTGTCACCTGAGCAAGTGACGTGATGTGTCCTGTAAAGGGGGATGGCAAACAGAGGTGAGGATAGTGAGGCCAGAGGTGGGGATGAGCCAGCTGTGTGGGGGGGGAGGGGCATTGGGGGGGCATGGAGATGACAGGGCAGTGGGCCAGAGCAACTGGAGGGGACTGAACCTGAACGGTGGTGTGAACTGGGGAGGGGAAGCTAGAGGTGAAGGGTTTGAGAAGATACTACCTTCAGCCTTGGGCTTTGGGCTGGTGGCTGTCCCCAGGACAGGAATGGTGCAGTCTAGACTTAGCCTCTAGAAAGAGTAGTTGATGACATGCTCAGCACCTGGCTGGGTGAAATAAACAGACATTAAGCAATAATTGATGTCGTGCCTCCTGTCAACCCAGTTACCTCCTCCACCCTGAGATCAAGGAACAGCTCAGAGTTGCCACCTGGGAGGAGACTGCTTGGCTTTGCTGCTCTGAGTATTATTCAGTCACAAAAAGGGCTGAAGTCCATGCTAAGAAAAAGAAGACCCAATAGCATATGGTTCCATTTGCATGAAATGCTCAGAATAGGCAAAAATAAAATAAAGACAGAACAGAGTTTGTGGTTTCCAGGGGCTGGGAGAAAGGGGCGGGGGCTGACTGCTTAATGCATACAGGATTTCCTTTGGGGTTGATAAAAAAAACCTTCTGGAACTAGATAATAGTGACAGTTGCACAACACTAAATGTATTAAGTGCCACTAAATTTTATATGTTAAAATGGTGAATTTGGGGGCTGGGATATAGCTCAGTTGGTAGAGTGCTTGCCTCACATGCACAAGGCCCTGGGTTTAATCCCCAGCACCATCACCACAAAAAAAAAAAAAAAAAAAAAAAAAAGATGAATTTTGCTCGGCTTGGTGGCCCATGCCTATAATACCAGTAGCTTGGGGGGGGGGCTGAGGCAGAAGGATCACGAGTTCAAAGCCAGCCTCAGCAAAAACGAGGCCCTAAGTAACTCAGTGAGACCCTGTCTCTAAATAAAATACAAAATAAGACTAGGGATGTGGCTCAGTGGTTAAGTGTCCCTGAGTTCAATCCCTGGTACCCCTCTTCAAAAAAAAAAAAAGGTGAATTTTATGTTACCTGCATTTTACCACCTTAAAAAAAATCAAATACACATTTCTGGGGAAAAATTCTTAACTTTGATCAGATTCTCAAAAGGTTAAGCAGCTCTGATCTGGTTCAGACACTTTCATGAGGCACAGAGGAAATGAGACCTGTGTATGGTCACTCAGGGGCTAGTGGCAGAGCCCAGCCGGCGGCATACCTGTCTGACCATGAACCCCCCCCTTTTTCCCTTGTCCTTTGATCTCCATTGACAGGCACAAGCTGTGTAACTCCCTGAAGTTAAAAGAACTTCCGGAAGCCGGGCGCACAGATTAGAGTTTCATGGTGTTCATCTTTTCTCTTGGTGGACTCTGAACTCCTAGAGGGCAGGAGGAAGCATGTCTTACTTTCCTCCAGCGGAGCTCCTGTGGCAGCCATGGAGGTGAATTGTTCCTGAGTCCACCTTCAAGATGGAATTTGATGTTCCCCTGCTTAGCCGACAGCCTCTAACAAACATTGTTTGCCTGGAAGACACACTGGTTGACCTAGACTTCATCAGATCTGCAGTTCTCTGAGGCTCTCCCGGTCCAGGCCGGCTTCCTCTCCCTTCATTTTTTTAAAGTCTTATTTTATTTTTAAATATGCTGTTTTAATACCCACCCTCTCATCATTCATAAGCCTTACCATACTTGCCACTCCTCTCTGACATAAACCCCTTGCCCTCCTATCTCCATCTTATTGTCTATTTCCTGGAGGACCCAGGTGATACAGCACCCCCAGGTGTACCATAAGTGCCCAGTAAATATTCATGGAGTGAACTGAAGAGTCACTCTGGAGGGAGCAGGGAGGCTGGTGTCTGGGCCTTAGAAGGAGAGAAGCTGCCCTTGGTGGATGTTTCTGTCTCAAAGGGTGTAAGATCTGGAGGGGCATGGAGAAGGGGCTATGACTTGGGGGAGGGGGACAAGGAGTGGGGAACACTCAGGGCGCAGGGGAACTGACCAGCCCAGCTGACATCCTTCCTAGATTCCTCCTTTGTCTAGGGCAAACTGTGACAGAGCTCATAAATGGCCCAGGAGACAGTGCCTTGGGACTTGGGGAAACCAGGTTCAAGTTATGCTTCTTGCAAGTCTGGTGATTTTTTTTTTTTTTTGGCCCTTTCCTCTCTGGAGCTCAATTTCTCCATCTGTGAAATGGTTATAGAGTATTCTCTCCTTCGGACACCATCATGGTTTTGAGAATTGACAGAAAAGACAGAGTTTGCGGGGGGTGGGCACTGTGTTGGGTATTTTAAATGTTTACTCACTTAATCCTTACAGTGGTTTTGTGAAGGAGGCAATGTAAGTGAAGAAAACAAGTGACTCAGAGAGGTCAAGGGGCTGGCCCATGAACACATAGCTAGCAATCAGGCAAGGTTTGGATAGGAACCCAGTTCCGTTTGGCTTTAGAACCTTCATTCATCATTGGACACAGTTACTGAGCAACTGCTCTGTGCTAAATTTGGGGTTTGAGGAAGGGCAAGGGTCAGGCGCTCCTGCTCTTATGGAGCTGACATTCTGGCAGCGAATGTGACCACAGACATCCTCATGAACAAGATAACTCCAAAACGCATTAGGACTCTGACAAAAGAAAGAAGCAGCAGCAGCGACAGCAGATGGGTGTATAAATTTGAGATGACACTGAGGGGCTACTTTTAACTGGGGAATCAAGGACAGCATCTCCAGGGACTTGGACCCCAAGTCGGGGTAAAAGCTTGGCTCACTTGGGAAGGGACAGAAGGCCAAAGGGAAGCCATCCCCAGCTTATCAGCAGGGCCTCAGAAGAACTGTCCCCGCGCGCAAAGGCCCGAGGCTGCCAGGTGACGTCACCGCGCTCGCCCACGCTGCCGTGACGTCACGAGTCGGCCCAGGCCTTCTCGGGTCAGAGCGCCGGAGCTCGCCTATGGCGGACGCGCAGGCGCGGCACGATGAAGAAAGTGGCTAACAAGCAGTCCCCGCCCAAGCTGTACGGTAGGTGCGCGCAGCCGCGCGGGCCGCTGGTTGCTATGGACGCCGCGGCGGCCGCTGGCTGGAGAGGGCGTGGGGAGAGACCTCACCGCCCCGCGGTCTCCGGGCCCCGAGGCACAGGGCCCCGCTGCAGCAGGGGACCGTACCATGAGGAGTTCCAAGAAGGAGTCCCGCACCAAAATACCGAGCAAGTTCGTGGAGCCCCCGGAGAACATGAAAGGTTGGCACTGGCTGCCTTAGGTGCTCAGGAGAACCCGACAGGGACGCTTGAGACCCTGGGGTTCAGGGAGCCTGGAGGATGGGAGTGAAGACCACTGGGAAATGGAGTCCAGCACATAGGAATCCTAACCGTGAGGGACACATTGGAGACTTCCCAAGGGAGGAAGCCCCGCACACTGGGCCTTGGGGGTGGGGACACAGCAAGGCGGGGACTCATAGGGAGGCTTCAGGGATCAGTGGTTAGGGACATGTTTTGGACAGGACCCCACCTCTAAACATATCATAGGATGGCACACTGGAGGCAGATCCCTAGACTAGGTGAGGTGCCAGGGAAGAGTTTAAGGCCAAGCGGTCCTTGGGAAGAGGAATTCAGGAGTGCAAGAAACCACCTTGATGGGTGTCTGGGGGTGGGGATTGCACCTCAGAGTCCTGCTGGAAAAACCCAAAGTGCTTAATCCCTCTATTCTGGGACTGCCTTTTTCTACCACATGTCCTTTCCAGCCATATGACACTTGTCCAGCTAGTTTAACCTGGAGTGACTACTTCCTGACTGTAGTTACCCTCTGGTTGCTGGTGAGAGAGCCACAGGTTTCCTGACAACAGCCTGACCCCCAGGGACAAGTTCCCCTTTGCAATCCACACCCCCTGCCTTTTGTTGTTTTGTTTTGTGGTGCTGGGGATCAAACCCAGGGTGGATGCTTGCTAGGCAAGTGCTCTACCACTGAGACGCATCCTCAGCCCTGTTTTCATTTATCCAGGACCTGCTGTATGTGGACACTGTGCTGGGCAACAAGGGTATTGATAATGTCACTGGCAGGGGTCTGAATAGTTTCCAGAGAGGGGAACCTCAACTCAGGATGAAGGGGTCCTTCATAATTGTCATAGAAAAGAATTTCCAGATGTGTCAGAGGCACAGTAGAGATTTAGATAGGAAAGCAAGAAGTACACATTCAAAGAAGATGTGGGCTATCTTGAAAGTGAGATGGCCTTTTGGGGTATCAGGCCCCTCCACCCGCACCAACTCTGCTGCTGGTACTAGGGATTGAACCCAGAGCTTCACACATATTAAGCAAGCACTTTACCACTGAGCTAAGTCCTTAGCCCTTTTTATTTTATTTTGAGAGAGGGTCTTGCTAAGTTGCTTAAGGCCTCATTTAGTTGCTGAGGCTGGCCTTGAACTTGCGATCCTCCTGCCTCAGACTCCTGAGTTGCTGGGATTATAAGTGTGTACCACCATAGACTGCTGGGGCTCTTCTTTTAAAGGGAACTTGAGGGTGAGTGGGCATGGAAAGGTTTGTGAGGATGGTGTTAGCCTGGAAATCACAAGACGATTTGTGGTGGTCTTTCAGTTCTCAGGATTTTCATGTTGATGCTGTCTCCTCTAATTGATTGACAGATAGTGTTTGAAAAGTACCCTATTCTGTAGGTTTCTTAAAATATGTCTCCCTTTGTTTAATCTATTCTAAAAGGATGTTGTACAAGGCAATTTTCATAAGCAAGTGAATTTGTAGTAGATTTAAGATTGTGAGAGAAGATTTGTAGACTGACCAGAAATTTGGGAGTGAAAGGCCTGGGGAAAAACTAGACTGGGGAGGGCCAGGCCTAGAGGGATATGGGCCTAGGGAGAGAAGGTATGAGAAACTTTAACCAAAGCTTTCAGACTAAAGCCACAGACTTGTTTTCCTTCCTTTTATCTCTTTTCCACTTATCTTCCATTTCTTCTATCCTCCCTTAGTATGAAGTGTGTGACCCCAGCCCTCTAGAGAGGACCTGGAGGAGGATTCAGACAATGCAGAAGTATAGAGACTGGGATTTTAGTGCCCAGGAGGATTAAGGGGGCTCAGCCCCTGACCCAGACTTGGGATGGTAGAGTTAAGGGGAAAGGTTTTCTGAAGGTGACATTTATGGCAGATCCAAAGGAAAAGAAAGAAGAAAAAAAAAATTAAAAAGGAATGGTTTGTTTCTCTAGGTCTAGAGAGAAGCATGAGTTCATAGATTTATGAACATGGGCGCCTGAGGGGGCTGTGCTGGTAGGCAGGGACCAAGCCATAAAAGGCCTTTACAGGCGAGGTCAGAATGTCTGGGTGTGCTCTTGTAGGCCCCGGGGGAGCCAGCCTCTTGCAAGGAGAGGGGCAGGCCTGCGCGCAGTAGGGTCCCCCAGGAGGCCCAGAAAACTAACAAGAGCCTCGTTGCTTTTCAGTATAGCTTTCTTTTATGCTTCTTCATAGTATAAAAGGCTGATGCTGT